GTCTCAAGTCCAAGTGTCCCTGAGCCCCCTGTCCCTAAAAATGACCTGTAATGTAATACAGCTCCTAATACTACCAGTATGACCACAGTACTGCGTTTACTTCTGCTACGACTACTTGGTTACGGTTACTATTGTGATCAGGTACAATGCTGCTGTTAGTACCAAACAAATGGTAAATGGCCTGTACTTGTATAGCACTTTTCTAGTCTTCCGACCACTCAAAGCGCTTTAACACTACATGACATCATTCACCCATTCACACCCATTCATACACTGATGACAGGAGAACCACACACAGTGACACCTGCCCATCAGTAACTAACATCCACACACTGTAGTCGCAGCTACAGGAGCAATGTTGGGTTAAGTGTCTTGCCCAAGGACACATCGACATGCGGGTTAGCAGAGCCTGGGATCGAACCCACAACCCTCTGATTGGAGGACGACCGTGCTCCCCACTCACCCACCCACCCAAACCCTTCTACTATTATTAATACGATTACTGCTTCTCCTGCACAACAACTAGGACCACACACACACACACACACACACACACACACACACACACACACACGCGAAGAGTAATGGAACCATCATTTCCATGTGTCATGTCTTAAATACTCCCACTAAATATGGTTAAATTCAATTTAACATATGAGCATGTGACACAGGCAGGCGTGTGCACAGATACATTACAGGTCATTTAGCAGACGCTTTTATCCAAAGCGACTTACATTACACTTTAAACACATGGCTTATTCACATTTTTGCCCGGGGAGCAATTAGAGGTTAGGTGTCTTGCTCAGGGACACTTCGACATGGAACATGGGGCAGCCTGGAATCAAACCACCAACCACCTTCTCTAACCCCTGCACCACGACGACCCACTGCTCTGGGTCCAGATAGACGTGGATGAGGCTGCAGCATCAGACAAACAGGTGATGACGGTGTTCTGGGATCCTCCGACATTGTTTGCTGATAAATTCAGCACATTAATGCTGCTGAAAACAAAACATAAAAAGATAAACAAACAAAAAACACGAATCCATGATGAGAAAGCCTCGTCTAGCTGTTTGTTCGTCATGTTTAATGAAGAGAGGGAGGGAGAGAGATACAGACAGTCTATTGTGGTACATGATTAGTGTAACGCTGCTTATGCTTCAACTGTAAAAGAAAACAGTACAAGTGTGTGTGTGTGTTGTCGGCTTTATAGAGATTCTGTAAGTCACTCTTGGTTGTTACGTACAACACATCATTTACAAAGCATAATGTCAAGAAAATAGAGCAGGACAGGGAATATATCCCACTCCCTATTCATTCATTTTATTATTAATATTTTTATTTTCCTGAATCATTTTGGCCCCTGTCCCCCAAAATGTCTGTGCACGTGCCCGGACGCGGGCATCCTTAGGCCACGGGCCGTGCAGACGGGTTCGTCTAATGTACCTGTCGTTCTTCTCTTTGTCCACGAGGTGGGGCAGTCGGCCCGTGGATGAGGTAGACTGGCAGAGAGCGCAGCATTCATTTAACTCAATAATGCACTTAAACTTAACTTAGAATGAACAAAAGCATATTGCCACGTGTTACTACATTGCGTCTGGTGCGTGTGTGCTGTTTGGACCAGTGGGACCTATTTGTGTGAACTTCTTTATGGCGGCATTGTCTCCTGCAGCATCAGTCCCGTCTCACAAATGGTTTGTTGGTCCGTCGTATTGTCGCGTCCACAACTTGAACTTGAGGCGCCCCTCGTCTCCCGCTGTGCGCTGAGCGCGTGGTCCTCGGCGCCTCTCGGCGCGCCGCCGCTCTCCATCTCCCGCGCGCTCCGCGTCTCCCCCCCGCCGCCGAGGACGCGACGAGCCACGAACAGCATCAGCAAGGAGAAGAACACGGTGCACACTATGATCCCCGCCAGGCCCCCCGCCGACACCGCCGAGGGCCGCCGAGGCGGCTCCGGACGCGCCGTGGCTGTCGTCGTCGTGGGAAAGCTCTGGCTCGTGGCCTCTCCGGAGCCCTCCGGCTCCTCGTCCGTGGGCCCCTCGTTTTTGACGCAGCGGAATTGGTCGACTAGCGTGTATCCCGGAGAGCACGCGCAGACGTAGCTGCCGAACGTGTTTCGGCAGAGGTCATCGCAATAATCGGAGGAGCACTCGTCGATGTCTGTGCAGACCGTGTCCCCCCCCCTCTCGTCCGCCACGTACCCGTCGGGGCAGAAGCACTGGAAGCGGTTGTTTGGGTCGCACTCGGCGGCGCACTCCTCCTCCCCGCAGAAGAGCGCACACGTGTGCGGAGACTTCGGGTCCTTCTTGTATCCCGGGAAACAACCGCACTCGTAGCTGCCGGGAGTGTTGGCGCACTTGTGCTCGCACGGAGCGGACGCGCACTCGTCCACGTCGACGCACCGGCCGCTGCGTGACTTGTACCCGTCCTCGCAGACGCACCGGGAGCCGCCGACGCTGTTGCTGACGCACACGGAGTTCTCCCCGGTGCACCGCCGCTCGTCCGCGCAGTCGTCGACGTGCACGCACGACCTGCCGTCCCGCGCCAGCTTAAAGCCGTGGCCGCACGTGCACGCGGAGGCGCGTCCGTCTTTGTGGCAGCCCTGCGCGCAGTCCAGGGCGACGCACGGGTCGTCCGTGCCCGTCGGCGGGTCGGGGGAGGGCGCGCGCTCGGGGTTTTCCGCGCATCTGCGCTCGCAGACGCCCTCGTGCGCGCCGCAGCTCCGGGGCGCCGGCTGCCACCTCCCAGAGACGCAGAAGTACTTGGTGTCGGGCGGCGTGCGCACGGCGGTGCTCCCGGGGGGCGATGACCCCGCGGCAGGGGTGTACACCGGGGCCGCTCCCCGCGCGTCCGTGCGAGCTTCGCACGGGTCACCGAGGCCGTGCTCGCAGAGGAACCCGGCCAGGCGGTCGCCGCACGGCCCCTGGACCCATTCAAAGTCGTCCTCTTGGGACACAGAGACGCAGCGCGGAGACGAACAGCTGCCGTCGAAAGCCGCAGGCCAGTGCGTGAATTCGCTTCCGACCTCCCCGGTCGCCCAGCGGAAGCCCCTCAGCTCAGCGGCGGGGTCCGGGCAGCCGGTCGCCAGGTGCAAACCGATCCAGAACCGGCCCGTCAGGTTCCCCAACAAGAAGGGGAGAATGTCGTGGATTGACGAGGACCGCACTGTCATCAAATGTCCTCCCAGGTCCGCGCATCCGTCCCGCGCCGCCGTGGAATCCGCGGCGCGGTGGAACGCAGCGAAGCAGCGCGTCCCGGAGCAGCGCGCTCTGCACGGCTCCATCTGAGCGGCTCCTCCTTCCACGAAGGTCAACAAGGAGACCAGCAGCCCCGCAGCGCGCCGCATGTCTGCTCACAGCTCTGCTGGCTGGAGGACACGTCCCGCTCGCATTTATAGCGGAAGTGAGCTGCTCGTTGTCCGCCCACCCCCTTCACCCCCTGTTGTCCCCCCCACCCCCTTCAACTCCCCCCGTTGTCCCCCCACCCCCTTCACCCCCCCTGTTGTCCCCCCACCCCCCTCAAAACGTCCTGCCTATGAACCTCCCCACTGAGATGGATACTGTGTATCAGGGGAGATGTACAATAGTAGCAATACAGTTATTACAGTATATTAATAAGTAATATGCACAGTGTTACTGGTATTACATTAAGACAGTAGTACAGTGGTATTATATTAAGACAGTAGTACTCTGTTGTGTACAGGTTGTTGGACAGTCTCCCTGCAGTTGGCAGGAATGTCTCCATCTGTCCTTGTGACAGCTGGATCGTCCCCATATGGACAATACGCACCAAACCTGCGGGCGGCGAGGAGGAGGGGCTTCGTGTGTGTGTTGTGTGTGTTTGGCAGCAACATTGACATGATGTGTGTGTTCAGTCAGCCGCGTGACGTGAGGATCCATCACGTCTGTGAGCAGGTGTAGTGAATATGTAACAGTCCTCGCTGCCAAACCACTTTACTTTACTTTGTGAAAATAAATAAAATCTCCTTTAATATTAAACCTCGTGTGTCAGTGGCAGCAGCCTCCTAATGTTCTCAGTGATGTAGACAATGAATCGTGTGGCCAAGATCTGGACCTGGAGCCCCGCCGGCCCAACAGATACGTGACAAAAGGGTCCATGCTGAACTTTTATTGAGATAACGACATTTTGTGACTTAACAACAGAACAAAGTGAAGTTCAGATCTAAAACTTGTCAGCGTTCTTTGAGTCAAAGAGAAGAAGTAAGTGGACGTAACTAAACAGGGCTGTGATGTTTTACATGCGGCTCCATCGTCTTCTCTCCACAGTTTGTGTCTCAGTGTCCTTGAGCAAGGCACTGAAGCCCAGTGCTTCACAGCGGCACACTGCTCCTTACTCACTGAGGGTGAAACCACAATCACTTCCCCACGTGGGATTAATAATAATAATAATAATACTTGAACCTTTTTTTGTACATTTCCTCCAGCCCCTCGCGCCCCACCAGAGGGTCGCGCCCCACAGTTTGAGAACCTCTGGTCTAAATGTTAAAGCAGCATATTAAATGACAAACGTCAGTCACACACAAAAACACAGAGGAGTGTAAAAAACAAAGCTCCTATTATTTACACTAAAGGTCATTTTACAGGAGATTCAACTGCCGTTGCTCACAAATACACTTTACAGTATTATGGGATGTTACATGTGTGCAAAATAGGACGTGGGAAAAAAACACATGTTTTGTCTTCTCTTTACAGTAAAGGACTATAGTGCAGGATACAGTGTACAGGACATCAAGCGGCTTGTGGAGGGACAACCTAGTCTTCCAGGGACATGGTTTACATTGTGTGTGTACATCGTGGCCAAAGCCGCCACACGGACGCCACGGTGCACCAACAGCCTGTCAACACGCCACTGTGCTGGTGGAGAGGGAACGTGGTACTTTTCCAAAGGTGTGTAGGAAATGATCCACCATTACACTCACAAACCCAGTCTAATACTATTTGACAGCAGGGAGTCACACTCCGGGCCAGGGGCCACTTTAGAGGGGCCACTTTAAACCAACATCCAGACTGTTGTTCAGATGACAGGATTCAACATTAAAAGGCCACAGCTACTCATTCTTTGAAATTCCCTACTGACAAATTTAATACATTTTTCATTCATCCATCGGGCGAGAGACGGGGTCCACCCCGGACTGGTTCCCAGTCAGTCACTGGGCTGAGACACAACCATCACTCTCCCCTTCCACACCGATCCACCTGATCCTCAGAGCATCTCTGGACTGTGGGAGAAGGTCATGGTACCCAGAGAGGACCCACGCAGACACACAAAGGCCGCTTAATACGTGTGATCTTTATGATATAATCGTAGCGTTCTGATCTCTTCCACTGGCCTCTCATCACGTGTGAGAGCAGCTTTACAGATAAAGAACAATGTTTCCAGTGAAAAACTGACGTCTTCTGAGGAAATCAACAGTGTGATGTGACATGAAGAAATAAAGCAGCATTCTTCCTCGTGTGCGAGAAGTATCAAAAGTTGCTTCTGGACTGTGTGTCCAGGGACAACCTCTTGTACGTCTCCGAGGTCACCTGCTGCAGGTAGAAGATGTCCATGTCCTGGCGTTTGATGGAGGAGATCTGTAACCTGCCACACCGCCTGGCCGCGCTTCGGATCAGGAGGTACATCAGCGCCGCACAGAGCGCGGCCAACACGCTGATGCCCAGGACGCTGCCCGTCTTCATGTAAGAGGACACCGCGGGGGGGCCACTGCTGCCTGGGTTGGGGAGCAGAGGAAGAGGAGTGGCGCCCGACCCCTCCTCCTCTTCCTCTGTGATTGGCACGCACGTTGCCATGTCCTCGTGCAGCTTGAACCCCTCGTGGCAAACACATCGGCCCCCCCCCGACAGGGTCTCACACCGGTGATCGCACTGCTCCTCGCAGTCGCTGATGGCGGTGCAAATGGTCTCGCCGCCGTGCTTGACTTTGATGTAGCCTTCAGGGCAGTAGCACAGGTCCTGGTTGTTCCTGTCGCACATCGCCGGGCAGTCCTTCTCCGTGCAGACCACCTCGCACTTGGTGGGGTCGTGGGCCGCCGACCTGAACCCCTCCCGGCACGTGCACCGGTAAACGCTGTTGAACTTTTGGCACGTCATGTGCTCACACCTCTCGCAGATGGTGACGTCCACGCAGTCCCCGTCCTCTTCAACGAAGCCGTCCCTACAAACGCACTGGAACCCTTCCTTGGTGTTCCTGCACTCCTCGCCCTCGCCCATGCACGGGTTCGACTCGCAGGGATCCGCTGTGCAGGAGATTTTGTTGCGATGGAGGATTTTCCCCGCTGGGCAGACGCAGGTTTTTGGCTCTGAGCTGCAGTTGTGTTCACAGCCGCCCCCCAACACCTCACAGGTCCAGGGGGCTCGAATCCAATCCGCTGAAAAACACACGTGCTTCGAATTCGCAAAAGTCCCGCCAACCTCGACCGCGATGGTTCCAGGTGGAAACGTTTCGGAGCCGTCCGCCCTGAAGCCCATGGGGGTGGTGTAATTCACGTGCGCGCCTCCGCCTGCCTGCAAGCCCATGCACGGCTCCGCGATCTGGTACGCGCACAGGTATCCGCGGCGGGTGCCCGTGCACGGCTCCCACAGCGGCTTGTACCCGCCGGTATCCGAGGAGACGATCGGGCAGCTCTGGAGACCTGCGGTTGTCTCTGCCGGCGTGTCGTTCCTCGACACCCAGTAACTACCGTGCACGCTCAAGATCTCCAGCACGCGCTCGTCTACTACGTCCACTAAGTCCACTAAGTCTCCGCCGGAGACCCGGCAGCCTTTCCGCGCGCCGTCAAAGTCTTCGGGGTCCTGGAACAACGCGAAGCACCGATTCCCGGCGCAATGGCCGCGCGGAGTCGGGGCCGCGTCCCCCAGCGCGCACAGGACGAGCGCGCCGAGGAGCAGCGTGCGCGCGGAAGGAGTCATGGAGGCGGCGTGAACGAAGCGCGAGCGGCGGCGGTGCTCCGTGTCCGGTGATCTGAAGCCGCTCGGCGGCGGGACGCCGTTTATAAACGCGTCGGCGAGGAAGGAAGTTCCGTCGGTCTGCTCGCTCGGCCCCCCCCGCTGTCCTGGACCCCGTCCAACCAAGACCGACCCACCAACACACACGCGCACGCACGAATACACGCACGCACACATGCACGCGCACACACACGTGAGCTTTGACCAAAATCCTCCACGAGCTCTCTAGATGAAGATCATCCCATTAAAGCCTCCAGAGAAGTAAATACCTGTTGTCTTCTCTTTGTCCTAAAGTAAAACTCGTTAAGCAAATAACGTATCGTAATACGTTATTTGCTTAACGAGTGCTCCATAATGTCACAAGTTGACATATTTCATATTTAGAAATGAGAAATTCCTGCTGTAAATGGATCAGTGTTCTGAATGGAGTTTATCTTCAGTGTCACTGTAGTGAAACCTCTGGAGCAGCTGGAAGGATGAGGAGACCATTCAAATAAGTTATTTTCTCAACTGGTGAAATAACATTGATTATTACATCTTTAATTAAAAATATTTAAAAGACATTTTGCACACAAAGTAACAGAAGACGTGACTGGATGAGAGGAGAGTGATCCGGTGATCCAGTGATCCAGTGATCCAGTGATCCAGTGATCCGGTGCTGTGATTTACAATCACATTTCTATTGACGACTTCAGCAACCGGATTGTTAAAACCAACAGACGTGATAATCCTCAGACGGACCAAACTAAACCCAGACGCTTCAGATAGCAACGCCTCTAATGAATCAACGAGGACATTTATCCAACGTCTCTAAAACCAATTGTAATTTAAAGCTGCCCCACTTATAGGATCAACGACATAATGCATAATGCTTCACCGGTAATGAAAACCCCTGCAGAGGTTCATCACATGAGCCAAATGAACTGAGATAATGTGTAATAATATAAATGATAATGTGGTGTTTTCAGTTGGCCAGACGAACCCCAATGAATATAAATATGTAATTTATCTTGGTTATCGTTCACAAATCACCAGTTACAGCACAATTTACAATGTGCTTAATAATAGAAACTTCCACTCCTTCCCGAAGAGACACTGACACACTTCCGTCAGGTTCAGTAACAACTGCTGAATTAGACACACAATAGTCTGACTTATGTTCAATCTTCTCGTCAACTGTTACCTTGAAACTATTCAACGTCTTCCGTCGGTTCAGACGGTTTGGCAACGGAGGAAGAGAGCAGACTTCCATTTTTCACGGAGGGGAAAGTGACTGGACAGGAAGAGGAAGTGGAAACAAGAGGGCTGGAACCACTTCCTGCAGGAACAAAGCGTGACAGCAGCAGCGTCACGTGAAGCTACGCTGACCGACGGGCTCCGTCCTCAGCGGCTTTAACGGGAGACACGACATGTGTTTAAAGTCAGTGGAGGCATTTGAGGCAGGGGGGGCTTCAGTGGAGAAAGAGGTAAAGCTAAATGCGGCGTGAGGGCGTGGTGGGAGGGAACCGGGTGGAGGGGATGTGACGAGGCGTTCAGCGATGGAACCCTTTGTTCACGCTGTAGAAACTTCAGATTCCGATCCGTGCCTGGACGCCGGGTTACGGACCAATACAGTGACAAATACCAGGTCGGTGTCTGTAAATATTAGGGTGAGAGATTTATCTGTAGTTTACGCAGAGGGCCGGTCGCCCTGTCCTCCCTCAGCTCAGTGTGGGTTTGACGTTGGTCACAACGCTGCGTTTAAAGCAGCTTCACCTCAGCTGACCCGCGAGGGTCTTTTCAGCGTCCCGCCGCCTGCAACATGCGACTTCGAGTGTTGAGGTGAATCCACCGTCCTGCTGGCGAAGGGCAATGACATGTGCAGTGCTACAGGACGTGTGAAGGCAGCGTGCAGGCAGATGGGACACGTGTTTTTAATCAGCTGGTCTCATGGAGATTAAGAACAATTAAAAAACCAACCAACGTCTGAAAAGGCACCACAGCCTTTAAATAAGTACCAGGTAAACTCATCCGGTCACCATCAGGAGGTTCGTGGGAAGGCGCTCGGGGGTTGATGTGGTTTTACCACACTTTTGGACACACAGGGACACACAGAGACACACAGAGACACACAGGGACACACAGAGACACAGGCGGGTCTGACCCTCGAGTCAGTCGACCTGTGCCAGCCACAGGAATCGACTGAGCCTGCTGCTCTATCACGGGTGGCACCGGCGGACTGACGCGGAGCACATTCCCGCCCTGATGACCTTCTGATACCACGCATCCCCTCCAGGGAGGGAGCCTTTATGTCAACACTGACACAACCACACGGAAAGGATGTTCACATCTAAGGATTCAGACTGTCTGCTGAGGGCTCGGTTCGCTACATGCGTTTGTTCTGTAACCAACGCGTTCAATCATTTTATTCAGCCTGAATGGACGAGTTGCTGCAGCACCAACGATGCACGTGTGTTACATCGACAATGAGAGGAAACACGTGTTTTTTTATTCCTTCTACTGCGGTAGAACTGTGTTGGCATTAGTTAGCCCAACGCTACTCAAGGCATAATTATTATTCATGATTGTAGCGGCAATCCAACCTCCGTCCACGTTGATCCTGATTACCACCACTGGAAGCGTCTGTTTGGGCTGCGAGCTCCACACGTAATGACAGTGACTCCGTTAGATCTACTCAACAAAACTTAATTACAGGATACATTCAGTGCTGACCGTCGCCTGGAGAACACGGAGCAGGACGTCATCACACACTCAAAAGGAGCCTTTCTCATAAAGACAATAACACATCGTATTGAGGCTCATGTGGCTCTTGTGATGAAGTTCACCATGACGCTGAAGATATGGGTACAAATATGTAAACTGGTGTGACATCACACACTGAATTACACAATCACACTCTTTCTGATTAAAATCCACCTGAAACAATCAGTGTTATTAGCCACTAATCGATTACTGATTACTGCTTTAAAAAGTAACTTAGTTACTTTACAGATTACTTGATTTCTAAAGTGACTAAGTTAGATTACAAGTTACTTTTTCAGTGACATTCAGCAGCCGACAACACTCCCGCCGCCGCAACATGAAAATGACAACCGGTTTTGCCAAATCTCACTTTATTAGAAGTGCGTTTTTAACAGTAATGTACACAACAACAGTGTACGGTGTATCTCCTGACACTTGAAGTTGAACTAGTTCCTAATGGAGCCTTCTGGCGCTCTAATGTGGATCGCCGATCTGTGCAGGAAGGAAAAGCCGTTGTGTGAGGCAGCTCGCCAGCGCCACCAGCACAGATCGTGTTTATTATGGTACGAGTCAGCGAGTGTTTACGGGCAGCGTTTCCTCCACAACATTCTGCCCGAACAACCTCTTCAACTCTCCCCCACTTGGTGGTTTGGCACCGAAGTCCAGCTGGTGGTGTTTGGGTGTCTAAGGACCCAAACACCCAAATGACGCTCACTGGAAACAGTGCATAATAAATAAATGAAGGTCGACTTGGGACCAATGGGGCGAAGCTAGAAACGCTGCAGGGAGCGACGTAGAAACCTTATAAGACGGGATGGAACTTAATTTAACTCGACTTTTGGTTTTCATCCCAACCACAACCCTCACATCGGTCCTTTGGGAGCGTTGCTTTGGTCCCTATTGTCGCCGCTGTAAGGCCTCATGATGACGTGCACAAAGTGAACCCTTGCCATTGGTTAATGCTGCTCACGTTTACTGAGATGAATGAAGAGTTGTGTCTCTTTTCGTTTTGGAAGATATATTCCCCAGAGATTCAAGATAACGCCGAGTGAGTAATTGCTAATCTTCCTGATGTGCCTGGTAACTGACATGTAATCGTAACCTCACCCAGGAGGAGATGGAGCGACGTGAAGTTTATATCAAGTTCATAATCTGTCCAAAACACCTCATCTCATCTACTTATGGTTTTGAAAGTCTGGCAGCGAATTGCTTTCCCTCCTCGAGCCCCACGGACCTGTGAGGAACCTGCTGGGAGGAACCTGCTGGGGACCACCATCAGGTAGAACCACCATCAGATAGACCCACCATCACATAGAACCACCATCAGATAGACCCACCATCACATAGAACCACCATCAGATAGACCCACCATCACCTAGAACCACCATCAGATAGACCCACCATCACATAGAAGCACCATCACGTAGAACCACCATCACGTAGAACCATCATCAGATAGAACCACCATCAGGTAGAACCACCATCACGTAGAACCACCATCAGGTAGAACCACCATCACGTAGAACCACCATCACATAGAAGCACCATCACGTAGAACCACCATCACGTAGAACCATCATCAGATAGAACCACCATCAGGTAGAACCACCATCAGATAGATCCTCCATCAGATAGAAGCACCATCACATAGAACCACCATCAGATAGAACCACCATCCACAGAAGCCTGTGGGGAGCAAGAGCACTACGACTTTAGGGGAGCGTATTGTTGGTTTACGATGACAGTAACAGTAATGTGATATTTAAAACAACAATAATGAGGATGGTGGCAGCAGCAGGGGTCAGCAGGGTCACGGCAGGAGGCAGGAACAGGGTCCAGATTGAACCAAGATTCATGGAAACCTGTGAGGTGAGAAAGCACAAATACTTGGAAGAAACAAAGTTAGTGATGCGCAGTAAAGTTTACAGTAATAGAAATGGGAATATTAATAGTGTTAGAAGTGATAGTTTATCAAGAAAGCTTACTTATCAAAATGGATCAACTTCATTTGACAATTCTTGCTGATGGATTTTATTGGCTGCGGAACAGGAGCTCTGAAGGAAATTGCATAAACATTTCCGCCGTGGATTTTCTGGTGTAAATAAAGTTGAAGGTTTTAAATCTGGCAACTTGTAACAAGTTTTGTGAGCAAACAATTACAGTTCAGCTTATTGAAATGTCTCTTTCATGCCTGCAATATTTTCCTAACCTTAATCTCAATGAACGTATACCTGCGAATGCAAACAATAGCGGTTTGTTTCTTAAAGATGCTGATCTTGACGGATTGATTGAAAAGGAAAAGACCCTCTCATTGTGTTTGCCCACAGCGTTTCCCCTCAGCTTTCCTCTTCGCGCTCCCAGTCCCACCTGGAGCGCCGCTGACGGATAGATGCATTGACAGGAGACCCCCGCCAGGCTCCTTAAACACCCATTGTTCTACACAAAGGTCAACCTCCGAGCAGTG